CTGAATTTTCATATATATATATATATATACCTTTCAGTTTACCCCTATTTAGAGCAAGTGTTTAGTTAGTGATTTCCATCATAAGTATAAATTGTCAATCTTTCCCTCGCCATCATTCCTCCTGTGGTAAAATATAAATAACGATACCTGGAATATTCTCAGTGAAATGCTACAATGGTGATCTGTGTGCTTGCATAATTCTTATATTTTAATTTGCACTCATAAATACCAACAGTTAGCAATTCTTATTCTCCGGGCTAAGAAAAGTGCAATGGAAAAATCAGAGGAGTTGTTCCGCATCTAGTCGATGACGGTCTTTCAATCCTGCAATATTCATGTGAATGACACAATTTTGTTTGTGGACCATGACATACCGCAGGCCAGGGAGCTAAAGCTTGTACTTAGTGCGTTTGAGCAACTATTAGGACTGAAAATTAATTTTCACAAAAGTGAAAGTCTTCTGCTATGGCAAAGCAAAAGATTGTTAACAGGAGTATGCCCACCTGTTTGATGCCGCCTCAGAAGTTTCCCCTTCCGGTATCTAGGCATCCCAACGAATCATACAAAATCATCAAATAAAGATTTGGCTTGCATTGAGGAGAAATTCTAGAAAAAGCTTTGTAGTTGGAAAGGTAAATTGCTTTTAATCGGGGGACGATTTGTCCTCATTAATTCAATGCTAACTAGCTTAGCCATGTTTATGTTATCTTTTTTGAAGTCCCTAGGGGAGTTCTTCAGAAAGTGGATTATTATGGTTCACGCTTTTTCTGGCAATGTGACCGAACACAAAAAAATACCGACATGTCAAGTGGAGTATTCTTTGCACACCAAAAGATTTTGGTGGCATTGGAATTCTTAACCTTGACCTTCAAAATAGATGTCTATTGAGCAAGTGGCTGTTTAGGCTCATAAATGACGGGGTTTGGCAAGACCTTCTAAGAAGGAAATACTTGTCTAACAAACCACTAACCCAAGTACAACATAGGCCAAGGGATTCACATTTCTAGAGCGGACTCATGAAGACTAAAGATGGTTTCTTATCCTGTGGCACCTTTATAGTGCAAAACGGGGAACAAGTACGATTCTGGAAAGATGTGTGAGGTTAGGTGATAAACCTTTAGTGAGGTCTATCCTAGCCTATTTTGAATTGTGAGGCACAAAGATGATACTGTGGCAAACATCCTTTGGTCTGTACCACTTAACGTGTCTTTTAGACCTGGCTTGGTTAATATAAACAGGATGGCTTGGCTCGACCTAGTGTCAAAAGTAGTACAAGTCCATCTCACAGATGACAAAGAATCTCACTAAGAAAGGCTTGTTCACAGACCGATCCATGTACTCAATTTATATCCAAGAGGGTGTTCCCTCAGACAAAAATCCTCTTTGAAAATTAAAGATACCACTAAAAATTAAGATTTTCCTATGATATTTCAAAAAAGGGGCCAAGAGGAATTGGCAAGGGAGTGTCAAAAATTGTCTTTGTAGTTCAGTTGAAACTATTCAACATTTGTTTTTTTACTGCTACCTTGCACGCTTTGTTTGGAATACTGTGCATATCACATATGGAATTCAACCTCCTACTAGTTTCGCCAATCTGTACATGGTTTAAGCCTAAAACTTAGAAACCAAATTTTGTTGGCAGCCGTTGCGCTATGTTGGTCGATTTGGTTAAATAGAAATGATATGGTATTTAACAAAGCTGAACCTAATACATCAATGCAGGTAATTTTCAGGATGATGTATTGGATACGACAGTGGTCCATGCTGCACAAGGAGAAGGAGAGACCAATGTTTTTTGAGGGTGCAGAATATGGGAGCGTTGATCATGTCCGTCTTCACGAAGTTCGGCTGGAACTTCATGAATTGTTTTGAAGCCTAGTGTTTTGATAAGTTCGTTGTGCCCACTAGTTTGGACGAACTTTGTTTCTTTTCCCTAGACTTGTAAGCCTTATGGCATTGTTGTTTTTAACTATCAGCTGTGTACAGTCCACGGATGGTAGAGGCTGCAACTTTGTTCTATTATCTAAAAAAAATGTTAGTACTTTCAGCTGGCCAATCAGTTAGCAGACTTGCAAGACACAGTATGAGAGGCACCACATTTACATGTTCCTTCTTGCTGCAGTAGAAGGAAATTCTGAGTGAGCCCTTGATGCCATCCCACCTGACAATATGGCAGCAGAAATTGGCATTAGTCAAAAGATAAAGCTTCTGAGCTTACAACAACGTCCTGACTACTACTGAGCATAGCCTAGCACATTAGTCAAAAGTTATAGGTCCAGAGCATGCAAAAATGTTCTGACCATAACCTAGCACCAAACTCTGGAAACAAAAAAGGATAAATGAGTAAAGACATATATGGAATACGTACTATTTATTTTTCTTGATGTACATGTCCAAGCCGGAGGGCAGCAGGACCTTCCAATCAGAACTTGCACTTGACAGAGTTATGCAAGCTTTTCTTGCCCTACTAGATCAAATACTAAACAGTCATTTCTCCTTTCCTCACAGAGATTTCCCTCAGACCATACCCCTTTGATATATTGCCATAAATCACTAAGCCTTACCCATAGAAAAAGACATAAGGAATCTGGGATAGATTTAACACAAACGAAAATCAGAGTTTGATGTGGATTGTTATGTAATACCTAATATTAAATACTCGATAATCTATACCATCTCTAGTGATGTCAATGTGAAGTACAAATATTTACGCCGAACTCCAATTTTGAGGATAGAAAAGACTGGTCATACTCAGGGGGTCTAGTAATTAAATAATATGAACAAGACATGTGATGACCATAGAACAAAAATGCCTGAGTACATGTTTACATATGCAATTGACTGTGACCCCATAAATAGATTTGTATCACCATTGCAGTTTAAAAAATGCTATAGAAATGAAATTCAGCAGCTGTTAGTCATCAAATATAGTACTCCTTATAGGTGGAAATTTTTCTCAAAGGTCAATGCAACTGTAAAATGGAGGTCCTCCATTATCAAAGCAGCGTGTGTACCCATCGACTCACTCCAGGTTCTACGGCTGCTTATTCAATTCACAAGGGCAGTCAGGACGTGATGGTGCAAGAAATTCATTAATCTTTAGAGTTGTTGATAATCTTAACCAAAATAAGTCAATTGAGTGAGGAAATGTCTGTTTGTACTGGTGCTCCCTACCTATTTCATCTCCTCTACATTGATTTGACCTCTCATATTATTGTAAAACCTGCAACAAATTCCGACTGACATGCAAGGTCTGACCTCAACCGAATTCAAGTTTTGAACAAAGGGTATCCAAGTTTATCCCACAAATCAACACTCACAGGATTTGCAAACTTCACAGACAGTGAGCACCTGAGCTGTGATTACCCTTCACCATGCAAGGGCATTGAAGATCCGCGGTGCAAACTTCTTGAATTAAACGGTCCATACATCGGAGATGCAGAAAGCGCCCCCCCCTCTATTACGAGGAGCTACTCCACAGCACAGAGACAATCTCAACAGTAATTTGGTACCTATATCCAAATCAAGTAAATGCAACAATAGTATGTTTATCCTGAAGCAGAGGAAGGATCTTAATTTTTAGCAGAATATTTCATGCGACATATTCACCTATAATCAGCCCAAAATAGCTTTATATGGCAAATGGAGATTATCATAATATCAGTGGGGCATTTTCCATTTACAAGTCATTTTCCTACCGGAATATTCAGCAAGATTACAGCACAAATCCTCATGATAATAATAATGGCATATTCTTTGTGACTTAGAAATGTTCACATTTGGAAAATCATCTCATTGCTGGAGGCACAGCTTGATGTAAAAATATTTATAAAAGAGCAACAAAATTCAAGAAACATACTGTTGCAGGCCCACAGGATCATTTAACCAATAAATTGACTTATAAACTGTAAACAAATATATAGTTAATTATTCTGAATCCCTATGTAATTAAATTAACAAATGAAGCAGAAAATTAGTGGAGTCCTCTCCAAGGAAATTTCCAGGTTCTTCAAACCTCTCAATCAAATCGTACCTGCTGAAGCAATGAAAATTTCCAAGCTCTTTACCTCACAATTGGACAGTTTCTGAAGCAACAAGTTCGACAGTAATTTTTGTAAATTGTTGGTAAAATGTTAACTTCACATCCTTGGTGACATGGTTTAGGTTCATTACGATTTCATCCAACCCTTATATATGGAGAGTATGAACATACTTTATTTTTATAAGCAAAAGCAGAATGGAGTTATACGTTCAGTTCTGCAACCAGATATTAACACTTGTTCATTCAGCTAGATTCTGGCAAACCATGTGCAGACAATGCTTCTACTGCTTTCTCAAATGTAAGCACTTTAAAATTGCTGCAGGATCAAGGGTCCGTAAAGACTGTTATAAGTAGTAGCACAAAGACACAGGATGTGTAACATAAAGATATTGATCTGCTTCCTTGCTTGAGTAGCTAGCCGTGTTCCATCAGGATGTGTGCAATTTACAAGTACTAGCACCGGTATGAGAACTTGGAACTAATTTTCAGAGCTGAATGTGCAATTCACGAGTACCGGGACCTGGATGATGAACCCAACAAAAGTTTAAGGATGGCCAGTGAAATTTACTCTACTAAAATTTGTAGATACCCATGCATAGAATATAATGTAGTAGAGCAGCATATCATAAACGATATTAGATAAATATGCACGATTTTTTTTCTAGTCGAAATAACTATCAGGGCATTGTGGATTCTCCTCCTCACACATATGAATTGAATGCATCATTTGTATGATCGATTGCTCCTTTGGACATTCAGGGACAAATTTTGGCTACTGAGAGAACGAAGTCAATTGTCCAACAGCATTTAAAACCACGATAATTCTATTACAAATGATCACACCACCCAAACATATAGCTCCCAAAATTAAATTTATTCGAAGTAAACATCCTGACTTGAGTTGTGAATTGTGAGTAAATAAAGAAAACTGATCCGCAATTACTGAAAATGAAACTAATTAAGCGACGTCGCCAATGTAATCCTCAATGTGCTCATGCAGGTGCACATATCCTTCTTCTCCTTGCTCAACCAGCGAAGGGAACCTGTCCGTCAGGAGTGTCAGCCCAGGAAGAAAGATGGTACGGTTGCTAAGTGGAGGTAATGGGCTGTAGCTCCCATTGCCAAGGTGCACCCTTCGGACATCAGTTTGGTCATCGGCAAAGACACGCACCAGCAACATCCCATCGTTCTCACCTATGCCACTTGCATCATCCAGAGAGGGCACCAGGTAGGAGGTCACGTCATGAGCACAGCATCTGCAGCGAGCACGACCGGGCGGCCTAGCCACGTACACCAGGTGAGGCTGTGGGTGGAGCTCAACCCTGAGCACGTCGCCGTGGCACGTTGGGATGTAGAAACGCCCCTGCAGCGTGAGGCCACCCTCGAACGGCAGCACGCCGCCGTCCACCGCCTCGACCACGCCAGCATCGACGGTGCCCCAGTGATAGTCGCCAGGCCTGGCACAAAGAATCACGGTGCTGTGCCTGGGCGGCGAGAGTCGAGAGACCAAGACAAGCACCACGTTGGGAACAATAATGGCTTGTCCCCCTGGTGTATTCCTCCTGTCGACGACGACCGCGGCAGCGGTGAGCTCTGGCTCTCCCTCCAGGCCTGGCACCTCGGAGAAACTTGGGAGGACAGCCGTGGCGGTGGTCAGGGGGTTGAACAGGCGCACCGTTTTGGTGCGCTTACAGTAGAAAAGCAAGAGCCCCTCGGTGACGGCGAGGAAATCGCCATACTCCTCAAAGGACGGCAGCTGGATCCAGAGCGCAGCACCTGTGCGCACGTTCACAAAGCGGCGGCGACGGAGCGCTGCCGGTTCTACAGGAGCCTCGTCGTCGTCATCCCCGTCCTCGTGAAGCATCACCCAGTTCCTGGGGAAGAAACACGGTTCCCAGCTTGGACGATTATCGTTATCGGTGGAGCTTCTCAACGGCTTGCAGACCGCTCTCAGGCGGATGTATTCCGTCGCATCGATCGCGAGCAGCTTCTCACCGATCTCCCTAACAGCGTCCTGGACTAGATTCGCCCAGTCCCTCTCTTCCGACTCTAGCCTGATGTGTATCGTGCGGAAACAGAAAATTTTCACATAAACTCAAGACAAAACGGAGAGATCGAACCAGAAATCACATGGACAAAGAACGAGGTGTTTTGAAGACGCCTGCAGACCTGCCATGGACGTTGTCGACGCCGGCGCCGGGAGCAGCGAGGACTGGGACAGGGTTTCCTGCTGCAGCGACATGGTGAAGTTGGTCTGCAAGGAAACCCATGACGGCGCTGATAGGGTTTGGATTGGTGTGTAGGTGGACGAGGAATGGAGCTGGCAGGACGACGCAGGCGCAGGAGTCAGAGTATGAAATGCCGCCGTCGTGAAGAAATAGCAGAGGGGAAGCAGAAATGGAAAGAAAAACGCGTCGCAGCAGTCCAATGCTGCTTATCTCTACTACTGATTGTAAACATTCAATTTCTACTTTTGCTGGCTGTATTTCAGTGCATTGTCTGGCAAAATTAAATACGTACAGAATCTGCCCTCCTACACTGTGGGAATATGAAATGCTGCCGTCGTGAAGAAATAGCGTAGGGGAAGCAGAAATAGAAAGAAAAACGCGTAGCAGGCTAGCAGCAGTCCAATGCGGCAAATCTCTACTAGTGATTTTAAACAAGGAATCGACACTTTTGCTGGCAGTATTTCAGTGCTTTGTCTGGCAAAATTAAATACAGAACCTGCCCACCTACTCTACTGCCATACATAACCTTAACCTGCCCCTAGTCTTCTAGGCGTGTGTTTGGTTTCAGGATGACTTGGGATGTGTTGGACTTATTCCAGTTTTTAGGGTTGGATTGAATCTATCTCGTGTTTGGTTCTTAGGGTTAGATTCATCCTGCTTTTGTGTTTGGTTTGAAGAATCTATAGGAATGGGATGAGACAATGACAGGTGGGTCACATTTGTCGGTGTCCCGTTCCCCTTCTTCCTTGCGTTGAGCGAAGGCTTACACCCATCTGTGCTCGCCAGCTGCGCAGCCCCCGCCGCTTGCTTCGCACTGCAAGGCACGTGCGCCGCTGCATCTGCTCTAGGCTGCGCCGACACCGAGAGGCTGCTCTGTCGGTCCCGTCACGCCGCCGTGGCTACTCTACAGGCAGCTGACTTACACCGCCGCAGTTGCTCCGCACCCCCACACCACGAGCTGCTCCATCTAGGTCGACGTGGTCCTCCCATTTTCACGTACCGAGCGAACCCACATCTATTGTGGGCATTATTCCTTTCCGGGTTGGACCCACTTTTGTTGCCCCCCAAACCAAACAGCTAAAAAGTTGGGTTCAGCCCACTCCAACCCAGTTGAACCCCCTATCCAAAAACACCCTAGGCTTCTCTTATGGGTTAGGGCTAGAGGTTTACAGTTTTTAGTGTTTAATTAATGATGTGGAGATATGGGATCAAGTAGCGGCAGTGTAACATCCCTAAAAATCCCAAACCCAAAAATCACAACTTTCAAAAACATTTCCTAAAAGCCCTTGCTTGGTGAAGTGATCACGCTAGGAAGCCACCCTAGTTGCACAAGTAGAACCAAACTTAGATGTTTGAGCATTGCAATAATTCAAACCCTGAGTTGCCTCTTATTGGATTTCATGTGTTGATAACAATTCACACTACTATAGGAATGTTTACCATGGCGGGCATCATAATCTAACCGCCTCGGTTAATACATACTAACCGAGGCGGTTGTCGTAAATCGTCCGCCTCGGTTAATATGTTAACCGAGGCGCTTGACTAAAGACGCCCGCCTTGGTTAAGGTTTTAATCGAGGCGGTTTTTATTACTTGCCCGCCTCGGTTAATGATTTCCAGATTTAAAAAAATGCTTTTTCAAATTAGAATTTAAATTTGAATTTAAAATTTCGCTAATGAAAACACAGATAAAGCAGAAAATAGATGACAAACATATATTACCTTCATTCTCGTTCGACAAACCAACATTAAGTTATTACATTAGTGATGTCTTCATCATTGTTTCACAAACACGAATATTCGTACATGAGCAACTAAGGTCACTCATACATATCATTTTTTACTAGAAAAGAGGTCTGGCAGAACGTAATCCGAGATTCGTAACTTGTCGCTCCAGTTTCTGATGCTCTCAAACTTTGGATTCCGCGCTTACTCGCTTTTCAAGTCGAAGAACGTATTCCCTTCATGTGCGCTCTCTGTGACAAACTTACATATGTTTCCTACTATTTGTCTGAAGTCTTGGTCGACCTTCTCCCTTCGCCACCAGTCTTGTGCTTTCTTGAGCTACCGCTAGTCAGCTGCTATTTCTTTGCACGTCCTCAGATACTCGCAAATGTAGAATCCACATAGAACTGAGCCATAGAGTTGTTTGGCACACTGCACGATGTATAATACACAATCATTAGAGCATATATAATAAACAATCGGTAGGAGTCGTAGAACTAGTAGTAGTGAGTAGAGTAGAGTAGTAGGAGTAGTAGTAGTAGTAGTAGTAGTAGTAGTAGTAGTAGTAGTAGTAGTAGTAGTAGTAGTAGTAGTAGTAGTAGTAGTAGTAGTAGTAGTAGTAGTAGTAGTTGTTGTAGTAGTAGTAGTAGTAGGAGTACTAGAGTAGAGTAGAGTAGTAGGTGTAGTATTAGGAGAAGAGCAGCAGTAGTAGTAGTAGAGTAGTAGTAGTATTGGTACTTACTGGGAACTCACGCTTTGAGTTTGATTTCATGCCATTCTTCATCTTCTTCTTCTCGAGATCTCCGAGCATAGCGATCGGGATCTTTCACGTACTTCTTATAAGCGCTGTACGAAAAACCACTAGTGTCAACGACAATTTCAACAAGTATGTTAACTGTAAATGAATAAGGTCCATCACTTACTATCTCAAACAGCTTTCAAAGTGCTTGTACCCTGCTTTGTTTGTGTCCCGCAAGGAGTCAAATATATAGGCCTTTCCATCCTGAGGATAGATTATAAATGCAATGCAGTGGCCCATGATGCCCTGCCTGCACCATTCACACAATACATATTTGAAATGTTCAAATATGAGAGTCATGATCTCAGTTGCTATATATATGTTCCAAGTATCTTTTGGACTTACCCGAACTGGTGGGCAGCCATGATACACCCATTACCCTCGATCTTCTTCATGGCCTCATAGATGTACACTCCCGCCCGATACTTATATTCGATTACCAGATCTTCCCTGTATTTCTTTCTCTCCTCCAGGTTCAAGTTCACCAGCTTTTCATGAGTGTCTGGTATAACATAACCCATGATGGTTCTCTCTGTAAGAAGCATCGGAGAGAGATAGAGAATATCCTTGCCCAATTCCTTGCTTACATAGGCCTGCATCCTACAAGGAAAATTCATCATGGCATTACTAGTATGTTCCTAAAGTACCTACAACGATGCAGTAGTGTCAAAGTCATAATTAACATATAGGACAAATATGGTGACTTGGACGACATCAAGGTCCTTTCGCCGTAGTAGTCTATGCATGTCGTGGAAATCTACGATGACTTCACCATCCGTGGGCGTGTGGAAGTACTCCGCCGGAATGTTGATGACGAAGTTTCCCAGTCCCACTTTCGCTGCTTCCATGTACCACAGATGGAACCTCCTTACCTCCCACTTCTCTTCAAGGAGGTCGCCCAAGGCCAACATGAACTTCCCATGCTTGTAGTTTTCAGGGCAATCATCCGACCAACTTGAGATGTTAGGGAGTGGAAAAAGCAGATAGCATCTCGAAATGAATTATAGATTGACTATGCTAGCTAGTACCATACCTTTCAAACGTAGTTGAGTATGGGTGCTCGTCAACTATTTGATAGGCCACCCAACTCGACTTGTTGCTGTTCAGTGGTATGGCCTCCTCATCATCTGCAGGCTTCCTCGGTGGGGGAGGACATTGGTTTGAGCCCTGGTTCAAACCACTTGAGGGCGGTGGTGTCACATCGCCCGATGTTGCCCCCATGCCTCCCTGTGGATTGCTGTTGCTAGGAGGTGGACTGCCTGGAGGACTGGTGCTTGAGCCGCCAGCATTGTCGTTGTCATCGCCGCTGCCGTCATCGTCGTCGTCATCACCTGGGTCACCCCGGGGGAGATGACGACGGGTGTGAGGGCTGTGATGCCGGCGTCGGCATGTCCAAGACAATGTCGCTCTTGTTCCATAGCACTCACATGCCAATAGTGGCATCGATGAAACTATACCCCTCTTTAGTGGGAGTGTCGATTTCATCCTCGTCGAAATCTTTGTTGGTCCACGTCACGTCGACCTAGGTATAGTCGAGTAGGATCGGCTTGCCGTTGTACATGGCGCCGCTATCGGGCGGCAGTGCCACTCCCGTGGCCACGTCCTTCTTCCTCTATGCCCTAGAGAAGGGCACCTAGAGCGATGCAACTCGTTGGTTCAATGATGTTGTCGACCGGGTACCTAGGGAGTTGTCGGTCCCCGGTGCCATCTCGCCTTATTTGGTAGCTTGACCCTATGGGCAAGTAGCATGCTAGCTCGGTGAAACATCTGTGTCCTTAGGTCCTCCATCTTGGGGTCGGTGCTCATGAAAGCATCTTGTATCCTCCCCATGATCATGTCCTTGACTACCTCATCACAGCCTTTCTAGATGAGCCCTCTTATTATACCTCCGCCTCATGTGGTAAGAGTTGGCGTCGGATTGCCAGGCCTCCATGTCCTACCAGCTCTGCCTCAAGGAAACCCCATGGACACAGCCACGGTGCACAGGGTTTCCCAGCACCTCGGTTAGTATGTCCCTCTCTTGGTGAGGTTCGAACAACCCGCTCTTTCTCGGTCCATAGAGACCTCCTAGATACCCTTCTCCACCACCTTGACCTTTGGCTTGTTGTAGTTGGTCCTACCCTCCTTCAGCTTTTTTAGCTTGCGGGCATAGAGGTAGTTACGTGACCTCTCATCGATGCCCTACAATGGATTCGGCTAGCCGGTGTGGCAGAACCTCCTAAGAAATCAGGCCCACGTGCACCTATCGATGTCTCAACAGACCTCAGATAGCGTACACAAGTTCCCAACAACTTAACAGGTCTGCGGGTGTCCTCGGGAAACCCGAATCATCCACGAATCTTTTCCAAACAGGATCCCAATCACAGTCATTGCAGATTACAACAGTTTTCAATATACATACCAGAGATTATAAAGCGGAAGACTTAAGTTTTGATATTACAAACCAGTTGTTTCAAACTTACAAAACCATAATTGTCACACAACCATAGTAGCGGGATAATATTACATTAACATTATTT